GCATTGCTTAGTGGGCTTTAAAATCAGCCCTTAGGTGCCCTGGCTGCAGCTGGGTTGAGCATATTAGCAGGACATGTTCTCTGAGGCTAAATTGCATCTGTATGATTTCCTGAATTATCTGAAGTCTGGTGATATGTGCACATGTAAATATGCTGTTGTGTGGGCATCAAACAGCTCTCAGGCGATGAAACAAAACAATAATATTGCTCCTATAAATAAATTATTAGCAATGTCAGCTGGAGGAGACCATGATGAACACTGGGTGACACTGGGGCTGTTCCCACCCTGCTCCTGGTACTCCCTGTCCCCACCTGCAGTATTCTGACTATGCAGCTGCCAGGCACTGCCTGCTGATTTACATCTTCATTTGGGGTGGTGAGGGCTCTGTGCAGCAGAGCCAGGCCAGCACCACCTCTCTCAGCTGAGAACACGACCCAGTCCCAGGTCACCCTCCCATTAGACTGATGGGATGGCTCAGGCAGCAGCAGCTCCCAGCCCCCTCCATTCCATAGTCATGTGCTGGGTCTCCATTGCCATTTGCCAGGAGAAAGGCCTTTGTTTCCTTTCATTCCAAGAGGTAAGGTCCCAAGTATCCTCTGTGCACTGTGGTGTAGGAGGCAGGACTGCCCAGTTCTGAGCATGGGGGCTTCATTCTTTTTCAGTGCACTGGTTTGTTGTGGGGAAAGGAAGAGTTTGTGGGATGGGTCCTGTGGTGACACAAATCACTGTACAGTGTGCTGCACAGGTACATCCGAGCATCTGCTTCCCCTTACATCCCCAGTCAGTGCTCCAGGCATGTGGGGAGTTAAATGGAGCTCAGTTTTTGTGGTGCAAATCAAAACCAGCCCTGGGAGGTTCTGCCACACAAATGGTGTGCACTATGGTGAGAGCTCCTGTCTGCAGATCAGGGAGCATTCAGGATGGTTGCATGGAAATTCCCTGTGGAAAATTTGATATCATGTCCCTCAGAAGAACACCCTTTTGCTGTCTTTTCTCTTCCTGGAGTTTTTGAGGTAATTGAGCACAGAACAAGTTACAGCAAGTTACTGGGAAGCAACTGGAGGTGGCTGTCACTTGTCCGTTTGACTGCTGTGTTTGCTGTTCAGGCTCCTGGCTTCTCTTTAACATCACTTTGGGCCAGTGGTTTGCAGCTTTTTAGTGGCCTGTTACCAAGTGCCTCATGAGTGTTCTCCACAGGCTGCATGCTCCTGTTCCTCGGGTTGGTATTTTAACTCCTTCATTCCTTATGGGCTGTAAGGAATAACAGAGGATCATGGAATCACAAACTGCTTTGAGTTGGGAGGGATCGTAAGGTCCACTAGTTCCAACCTCCCTGCCATAGGCAGGGACACTGTCCCCCAGACCAGGTTCCTTAGGGCCACATCCACCCTGGCCTTTAACGAATTCCAGAGATGGAGCAACAACAGCTTCTCTGGGCAACCTGTGCCAGTGCCTTACCACATTCCGAATTTAAAATTTCTACCTAACATCTAATCTAAACCTGCCCTCTTTCAGTTTAAAAGCACTGCCCCATCTGCCTGTATAAAACATCCCTCTCCCTCCTTTTCATGAGCCCCCTTCAAGTCCTGTGTGGCCACAATGAGCCCTCCTTGGACCTTCTCCAGGCTGAGCATCCCCAGCTCCCTCAGCTTTGCCTCAGAGCAGAGGGGCTGCAGCTCTCAGAGCGTGTCTGTGGCCCTAAGATCTTGCAAATAACTTAATATCCACAAACCCTAAGTTAGATTTTGCTGCCATATGCAGTCACGAGTATTTTTCCCCATTGCTGAGTTTTCTGATGCCCCAGCTATGTCAGTTAAGGGTGTCATGCCATGTGTGCCTGTGTGGCATCATGGAAGGCAAAAGGACCTCAAAAGGTTGGGTTTGCTATGCTAACCCTGCTTGATCTTCCTGGAGAAATGAAGATCTTTGTGTTAATATGGACCAAGGATTGCCAGCAGATGGATCAACCCTGTGCAAAGGAGAAGTTAAGGTACTTGCAGGCTTTGCCTTCAGCCTGGGTTGTTTTTTGGTTTGTTTTGTTTTTTTGGTTTTTTTTTTTGTACAGTTCTGTAATTTAGTAGACATTCATCCCTTTTGCACCAAAAATTAATCTTCATTTTCTCTGACCATTTCCATGCTCCTTGAATTCCATCCCCCATTCCAGAGCAGTACTGGTGTATCACTCAAATAAGCTGCTTTGGGGAAGTTTGTCCAATGAGCTGCTTTTGAGAGAGAATGAGGGGTCTGGGGACACTTGTACTGTACAAGCAAGTGCTTTGTTGCCTGGAAGAGTTAATTTTATTTTATTTTTCTTTTCAGGACACACTAGTACCAGAAAAATGGAAGAAATGTGGAAAAACAAAGAAAATGCCTTCAGAACAGAAGCAAATAAATAACTGAAAGGCCAGAAGAAGGAAGAGAGAAGATAATTCTTTTTTATATATTAAGTCAAAAGGGTGCCAGTTAAACTTTTTTTTAAAAGTCTTTATTTTCATCATTATGTTCATGCTACTGGAGTGCTTTTCATATGAATCTGGAAAATCTTTTCTTCCCTGGATCCTCTGCCCTTCTCCCAGGACACTTGAATTTCTTTTTGAGACAAAGGAAGAAGAAAATACAAATCTGCTTTTCCCCAGGTGCCCTTTCCTCATCCTAAAGATTTGTGAATAAAGAGGAGGAAAGGATGGTCCTGAGTGTTGCGTTTTGGCTGTCTCAGAGACTGTGATTGGAAGCTGGGTTCACATGAGAATGAAAAGAGCTTTTTCTGGTGGGTAATTTTGTGTGTGAGTCATTGCTGAGTGTGGAGCTTCCTGTTCTTTCATGTCCTTTCCCTGGGGGCTGTGGTTATTGGGGGTGACTTCCCTCCTGCCTGTCCCCTGGGTGAGGCTGTGGCTGCCTTTCTCCATAAAGGCTTGTCTCTCTCTCTCTCTCCAGGCTGTGCCCAGCTGCTCTGGGCCCTTGGGGTCAGGCCTTGTGGGGAGCCAGCCGTGGTGCTGGTGTGCCTGGCTGTGTCTGACCTGGCAGCTTTGGGGCTCCTGTGGGGGCTTCACTTTCTTTCCAGCCTCTGGCAGCAACCTTCTCACTCCAAATACGAGTGTGATGAGGTCGTTGCTTCTGGTCTTCTATGAAACCAAAAGCCAGGTGTCTGCTGCTTGCCATATGGCCATGTTTGAGTTACTCAAACTCTCATTTCCCACCTAATTACTCCCTTCAGGACCACCAAGCAGTGCTGAGGCAGCAGCTTTGGGTGTTATTGAAGGACTCACAGATAGTAATAACCAAAGGCCTTAAATCTCCTCCTGATGAGCAACTTTCACATGAAAAACTTGAACAGTTGCTCCCTCCCCTGCTCCTGTGCATCCTGTGTCAAGGGTAGTTTCTTTAAAGGCCTTTATCAAATGTCTTCTGGAAATCCAGGAAAATTACATCAGCAAGCAAGCATGTGGATAAAGGGTGTAGAACTGAATCCTCCAAAGCATTTCACATGTGTGAGACATGACCCCACTTTATTAAATCCACCTTGTCTCTTCCCCCTGCTGTTGCTCACACTTAGCTCACTGTTCCTGCTCTTTGTAGCTGTTCCTACCTGCTGCTTCAGTGTAAACATTAGGGTGGGCCCACAGAGGTTTAATGAACTTCTTTGACCTTCTCTGCACTCCTTCAAACACCAGATCTCGGGCTGCATTGAAGTCCTCTGGGGCTAAAGGAGTTTTAGGTAAGAAATAACTAAGCTACTATTCATAGTCATTTACCCTGAAATGGTTTTTTAGCATCATATTTTGTTACTGCTCACTTAGAAGCTTTGTTTTGTTACTAATTCTTTCTGCTGATGCTTTGTGGTAGGACAGAACTTTCCCTGTGCCTATGGAGCTGCAGTGTTACCCAAGGAGAACAAGGATGCAAAAGGAAAATCTTGGAGTGCCCCTGTGGTGTATTTTCTCTAAGCCCTGTGTGTTGATATTGATTTTGCTACTTATGCATTAGGAAAGATTGTGTTTAGTATTTTGGTCTTTTAGTCCTCAGATATCTTTATCTGCTTTATTTGTTTTTATATTTAATCTCGCAGAGTTTGAGCATATATTTCTTCATTTTGAAGCAAAATGAACCTCAAAATAAGCCTCTTTTATTCCAAATAGCTACACTCACCCATCCATTTAATCACACAGATTTAATCACCCAAACACTTTTTAAATGTTTTTGAAAGGGCTTTTTTTTTTTTTTTTTTTTTTTTTTTTGCAGTATCCAATCCAGTGATTTGTGCCTTTTATGCCACTTAAGAGTTTAAATTCACTTTGCTACTATGTCTACTTTAGGAATCGTCTTCATTTTTTGTAATTCCTTTCCTTGGAGGGAGTAAGTCCTAATGGCTTTGAGTGTGTTGTTACAGAACAGGTTTACAAACCCATTTTGAACCAGGCTACTCAGGTGTATACTCAGTACTCAGGTGTATACTCAGTATTCAGGCTACTTCTTTTGTATATTTCTGCACTGTGGAGCAGAAGGATGTCTCTGACAGCTGCCTGCCCATGGAAGGGTAGCAGTTTTCCATTATCAGTTATCCATGCTCCTGCTGATTTCACAGCTTCTCTGATCTCCCTCAACATCCTCTCAGAGTTCCCCATCCTGCTGGCTGCTTTGTAATACTTCCCCAGTGCTGGAATTGTAAAACCTGAACAGGGAGGGCTGTAACAGGGATTTGGTGCAAGGATGAAATTATTTCCATGCACACTGGAGCCTCCTGCCCTAAAACATGTCACCTGGCGATGGTAACTGCTCCAGACTAACAAGGGATTGTTGGAGTGCAAGGAGGGAAGACTTCATAGGCTTTAACACACATTTATAGATCATTGTGGTTCCAGCCTGGTGTTATTATTGGTACTGGAGCTGGTGCCTTTGGTAGCCCAGTTTTGAGGCATCCTTGGTGCACTTGACAACTGCCTCTGAGGAGCACCTTCCATTCTGGGCCCAGAATCAAGAAATTAAGGTCTCAACAAAAGAGCCATCTTGACCTGCTGTTGGACAGGTTTATTTAGAATGACTCTTATTTCCTGCTGCTGATGGAAGAGCAGACCCCATCCTGGTGCTGTTTACATTTCTGAAGACATAATTATTACACAAACAACAGGGGGACTGGGGTGAGAGGGAGGAAGGAGCTGTATGAGGTCACTGGGATAATAACTTACTCCTTTTAAAACACTCACAGGAACTGCAGCCACGGTGGAGTCCAGAGCCAGGGGCTGGCACTCAACAGGAGCTTGAGTTGAAACAGTGCCAGCCCAGTGTGATGCACAGGGATCTCCTTTAGCTCTGGCAGGGCTGTAACTTCAGCTTGAACTCCTCAAGGCTGAGCAGGCAGTGGAGCTGAGCATTTTAGAGTTCCTTCTGCTGCCAGGGCTCTGTGTCAGAAGCCAGGCAGCAGCAGCCCTGGGCAGTGTTTCCAGTGAATGGGAGACCTGTGGATTCATGTCTCACCTCACCCTGATCCTTGCTGTGTGTGGTTGTGCCATCAGCATCAATTTAGAGAACGCTCTAATCAATTTACTAAGTTGCCTAAAGGTGCCTTTTGGTGGCCTCATATTTATTAATCAGGTCCTCAAACAGAAAGATGACTTGGCAGAAATTTTGCCACACTTTGTGATTTGAAACCTTAATTAGTAGACCGAATATCCCCAGGATTACAAGTGTATCACTTGTTTTTAGTCTCTGTGTAAAGCAGCCTGAGGTTAAACCACAGAAGTGGGTTTTTTCTGGTTTAGTACGGAGCAATATTTCAAGAGGGGAGTTAAATTGTAAAGGCTGGAGTAAATTAAGTAGTGCTTCAGCACTGCATTCCTTTGATCAGATCTGAGGAGTGTATGCATCAGTTTCCAGCTGCTCACATCTGGGATTGTCTTCAGTGCTGTGAAGGGCTCACTGTACAGTTTGGTCCATGAGCTCTGAATTATTCTAGACAGAAAGAGGAGGAAAAGAGAATTACCAGAAAACTTCATAGGCACACACAGAAATTTTTTCATCCTTTGGAGGCTTTTCCTGACTGACCTTATCTGTGGAAAGATAACCAAGTCAAGCATGGCAAGAGAGATGCTGAAATATTATACTCTCCCAGCTGAATTCACAGGTGTGATTTATGTAGAGTTCTGATTTTCCCTCTCTTTCCCAGCCCCTCTTTTGCTCAGTGTGCACACTGATCTCTCCACACCCCTTTGTATTGTGCTGGCAGGGTTGGACAGGCTTAATTTCTGTGGGACAGCTGATCAAGTGGAGGTATTCCCAAGGAGGGAGAGTTTGCTGGCTCTCGTTCCCCCAGGAATGGCAAGATTTGGAGCATAATTCAAGTCCCAGCTGACCATTTTCACGATTGAGGGATACAGAAAACAGTAAAACTCTCTGCTGCCCAATACAGTGAAAATCTGACATGCCCCAGGACCTAGAGACAGGTCCTGCTGCTGGAGAAAGACTGGTTTGCCTTTAGCCTGGCCTAGACCCTCAGGCACTCTATCTCAGATAGCTTTGCAAAGCTGCTTTGGGTTGCTGCAAGCCTGTTCCCAGACACCCACATGCAGCTTCACAGCACTTGCATTCCCCCTGTTCAAACTAGCAGGGTTTTAGGTATCTGACAATATTGATTGGGAGTTTTTTCCCCTCCCTAAAATTGCAGCAAGCACCTTTTCCATGGGCAGCAGTGGGAGCATTACTGAAGGAGAGCCTTCAAGCCTTGAGCAGTGCAGCAGCAGTGAGTTATGCACAGGACTGGGCAGGGAATGGTACTCACCAGAATGTGGGGAGATGGAAAAGGGAGAAGTATTTACATGAGCTTAGCCAGGGTGCTGGGAAAGCCTTCCAGCCCACTGCTGTCGATGTCCTGGGGCCTGTCAAGGAAGAGGGCAGGGATGGCATCATTGGGATCAATGAGAAAGTCTCTTTTCTGCTATATTTTACTGGATTACAGGGCTGAGAAGACAGCAGAGTGGTGTGCTGCTGTGTAGTGCAGGCTGGCTCAGGACAGCACCCTGCTTGTGAGGTCAGCCTTATTCTTTCCCTGAGTGTTCCTGAAATGACAATTCTGTAGGTTCACACCTGGAAGGCAGGCAGCAATAAGGACCTGGGTGTGCTCCTGCAGTGAGCAGAGAATGAATTGATTCCCACCCACCTTTGGTTCTGCAGGATGGCTCCCAGGAAGTCCCTCAGGACCATCTGCTGCTGGTACTGGCTGTCCATCAGGATGCTGTCGGACTGGCGCCTGGTCAGGAACTCCTGCACCCCTTCCCCTGGGCTGCTCTTGCTGCTTCTGTTTGGTGAAGATGAGAAACCTCTTTGATTCTGAGATGCTTTTTTGTCCCTCACTCCAAGATTGGCTCAGGCTGAGCAGCACAGAAAGAGAACCTGCTGGGACTGAGCCTAAGGCCATTCTGCTTAATTTCAGCAAGGAATTGGTCACTGTATTTGCTGCTTTGTTAGAAGATGGACTGGGCTGGCTTGCATCTGACCAGTTGGTCTTGTTTAGGGGCAGTCAGTGATCTAAGTAGCCAAGGGTAATGGAGAGGCTGTTTTCTGTGTTCAAACCAGGCCAGGGATAACAGTTCCCTACCAGTGAAGGATCATTGCAAATATTACCAGCAAATATTATTGCTTGTTGGTATTGCAGCAGAACTCTCAGCTGATCTGATGCTTACAGCCTTGGAGGAAAGCATTAATTAGGCTGCTTAATGCTAACTGTGATTAGGGGTATCCAAGGCTGTAGGGATGCAGGATGTCCTTCTGCCCAGCAGGAGAGATTGCTTCTGTTGCAGTGAAAAGCAGGTACTTCTGCCTGGTATGGAAAACACTGCCCAGGGCAACAGGCAAAACCAGCCCTAGGGCAGCAGGATGCTGGGGCTTACCCGAGCCTCTTGCCAATGATGGTCTGGAGGAATTTTCGGGCAGAAATCTGCCCCAGGAATTTCCTGTAGTTGTCAGTGAATATGGCATCAGCGTGGCGCTGCATCCTGGGGGAAAGGAAGCAGAGTTTGTTTGCTCTCTGAGCTGTCAGTGAGAAAAAACTGAACAGCCCAGGTGCCACAGGGCTGATTCCAGGGCAGGTAACCACAGCAAGCACCTCATAGTGTTGGACTGAATTAGTGCTGGAGGGTAAAAGGATTTGAGAGAGCTCAGTCCGGACATGGAGGCAGCAGGCAAAATAAAATACCTAGGGCAGGGCAGGGCAGGGCAGGGGTATTCCTGTGCTCTGCAGCAGCACCATCAGCACCTGGGAGGGCTGTGTCTGGGACAGGTGACAGGAGCCTCCAGCAGGTCTCTAGCCTGTGGTTAGAGCCAGGCTCCAGAAAATCCACAGGTAAGGGAAGCACAAACCACTGGGCTGGTGCCACTGTTGTGCTTCAGACAGAAATAAGATCCTCTGACTCCAAGCAGAGATGGAAAGGAGAGGCTCTAGCATCCCTGCAGATCCCCAGAGCTCAGTGGAAAATTCTGTTCCCTGCAGGAGCCCTGGGCCTGCCCCATCAGTGTGTCCTTGCTGGTGGGGACAGCAGGACATGGCTCTGGACATGGGTGATGGTTTGGGACTAACTGAGCTGCTCCTGGGCTGGGGGGAGACTGCAACCAGCACATCCTGCAGAGCAGGGCTGGCAGATGAGGTACAAACCTTTTCTCAGTGGGGTCTGATAAAAAACCCTCTTCCTCCTGCTCCTCTGCCAAGGGGTTTTGGCTCTGCAAGGAGCTGCTGTGCTGCAGCTGGAAGCTCATGGCCTTGCCAGCAACTGGCCCTGGACTGTACCTGCAAGAGAAACCCCAGGCACACTGTGAGGTGTGCTCAGATGCCAGCTGGGGCTCAGTCTTCTCAATCATTATTCCCTACTCTCCTGCTTTTTCTTTCTCCATTTTTCATCCCATCTTAGCAGTAACACAAGTACTGTCTGTCACTCGGCTAGAAACTGCCCTGAAGCTCTTCCAGCAGTGAGAGGATGATTTATAGAGCCACCTCAAACAAACATCCCCCTCGCTGAGCTCCCAGCATCCTTGAGCAGAATCCCACTGTTTCTGGTGTCTTTGTGCCATGGCTTTGGCACAAGGCTAAAGAATTTTCTATGGGACATTGCAAATCCACATTAGAAAAGCCAATGCTCAATTTTGGGCTTTTCTTGAGTTGTAGAGGTACAAAGCAGTATTGCAGCTTCTAAGACCCAACATGGAAATACTTGAAATCTTAATAGGTATCTGTAGATTTCATGTATGAGAATATCTGCAGCCACATCAGTGTTCAGGCTGGAGGTGCTGCCTACTCTGGGGAATGCCAGATTTCCCTTTATAGAACCCATTCTATAGCATTCAATTCTAAACCCAACTGTTTGGGCTGAACATCAGGTGCCTGCCTTTGGAAATCACCCCTAGGCCAGCAATGTACCCAAAAACTAAGACAGAGCAGAGAAATAGGTCGAGAAACACATTTAGAGCTCATCTGGCTTTCAGAAGTGCTGGCAACTTTAGCTTGACACCTGCTTATTTTGCACAAGGTCAGAGATGAGGCAGAGTGAGAGTGCATAAAGCACTCAGCACTTACCTGAGAGCTGGGTAGAGAGGGGAGGAGATGGAGCATGAGACTAAATGTAGGAACAGGAGCAGGGTGGCCTTATCCAGCATCTTCCACCCCTTGGAGTCACCTAAAATGCAGAGCAGCCTGAGTCAGGGCACTGAGGGGAGGCCAAGTTCCACCTTTGTGTTCTCAGTCCCTCTGCTCATTCCTCAGCACAAAGGGGCTGGAAATGTCCCTCTGTGGCTGTGGTGCTTCCCAAGGCAGAGATGTCTTGGTGTGGCCCAGTGTCCCCCGTGGAGGGCAGTGGCTGTGTCTGCTCTGGAGGGTTTGATGCTGTGGGAGACCCTCACTGACCTGTCCTGCTGCTGTGGCTGGAGGAGAACTCTCTCTCGGGCTGCTGTGAGCCCCAGGAGCCCTGCACAGGCTGTAAAAGCTCCTGGATGAGGACAGCACTTGGCAGGGATGTGAAAGGAACCTCGCTGCCTGCCCAGAAGCATCTGCAGCCAGCCCTGGGACCTGTCCTGGCTCTCCCAGGTGGGCTCCCATGGCTGGACCTGCAGAGCACAGGTGTGTGCCTGGGCTGCCTCACTGGATGGCCAGAGGCTGGGGAGAAACGGGGAAATCCAAATAAAACTCCTGGGCAGAGGGGTAATACTGCACAGAGGCAACCCTGGCAAAGTCATTTATCAAAGGCAGGTGCTGAGCTTGGTTTGCCAAACAAAACACATCCCGTTCCTTCCGTGGGGAGGGGCTGGACTGAAGTGGGTCCCTCGGGAGGGCTGAACTGCTGCTGTGGGGAGCAGCTCCCCACAAGGTGAGCTGGGCTGAGCAGCTCCAGCAGAGCTTGCTGAGAGCTGGGGATGACTCAGGCCAGGGTGGCCCCAGGTCAGCCACCCTCGGGAGCTGCAGAGCCGAGCTGAATACCTCGCTTTTGTCCCTGCAAGCGAGCATCAGTGGGAAGGTATTTCAGTGAATGCTGCTCTTCCTGAGCTTCCATTGAAAGCGACTGATCTTTTGCTCAAAGAAGATTCTTTAAGAATGTGGCTAGGAACCTTTAAAATACCAAGTTTGCGTGTTCTCGATCTTATTATACACAAGAAAAAGCAGAAAGATGTTTGATCTCCCTAAGAGGAGGGAAAAAACACCCTTCCAAATGTATAACGATACATCCTTGTAAAAGGAGCCGTTTCCAGATGGAAAGGGTTTGCTTGGACTTCTGATTGCTCAAGTGAACTTTCAAGCAGTGGGTTTTGCAGATGGGGGGGCAGGGAGGCTCTCTGATGGAAAACATCATCAGTGAGCTCTCTTTTCTGCTTGGACAGAGAGGGGGAGGCTGATGAAGGACCTGAGGTCTTGCAGGGGGGTCTGATGTTGACACCAGGGAAGTTAATAACAGAATTAGCAGCAGTGCAACAAGTGCACGGACAGACATGGAAAAGGCGTCACTCTAAGAAATGAGATTTCTTATCACAAAGTCGTTCTCACCCAGTCTCTCTTTCCAGTTATTTGTGCTCCCAGATGGGACCAGCAGCTCCCCCAGCATTTCCCCTGGGAATAGCCCAGTGGCCCCTGCAAAGCTCCTTGTGCTCATGGGTGGCATCCCCTACCTCCTGCACAATCACTTTGGCCCTCCAAAGAGCCAAGGAATGCTTAAGGGGACTGTGATAGATGTACAGGACTTCTGCTTTTAGAACAACTCCCCTGCTTCCCTTTCCTTTTTGACTTTTTCATTTGAACTTGGTAAAACATGCTGCTCTGTGCCTCTTCCCTAAATATCTTCAAGAAAATCCCAAGTCAGATTTTTCTAGATAGAGGAAATTATCTAAGGCATTTATCAGCGGGTAACAGCAGACTGTGGCGCCAGCATCTACAGAAAGTGCCAACCAGGAGATTTAATCAGCATTAGAGAAGCTTCTATGTGAACTGAGAAGTGCCAATGTAAATGAAAACCTAGCCCAGCATTGTCTGCTTCCTCTTCCTAGGACACAGCCCTAATTATCACTTTCTTTCTGTCTCTGGCTTCTCTTATTTAAATGTTGAGGGTTTTCTCTATAATTGCTTTTTGAACATTTGAGATCCTTTTTTTATTTCTCCACTATTAGTTTATATGAATTTTTTTTTTTTTTTTTTTTTTTTTTTTTTTTTTTTTTTTTTTTTTTTTTTTTTTTTTTTTTTTTTTTTTTTTTTTTTTTTTTTGTTTCTGGCTTTGTCCTTCTTCCCCTATCCTGCTTTGTCTTCTCCCTTAGCTACAGACTGCTCCCAGATTTTTGGGTATGTCTATGTCCCTTTTTCCCTCAAGAATAAATCAGAAATGAAAGTTCTACATCCCTTCCCAGATGTGTCTGCTATTTCAGAAGAGAAGCTGGGAAATTGAAGTGTCACCCTGTGTGCAGGCAGCTTGGCAGCTCTGCAAAACATTGTCACCTTCGAAATTCTCCTGAGGTGAGGGACACCTTCCCTTTCCATTCTGGCAGCATGTGAAAAAATGATTAATAAATAAATCCCCCTTAAGATGAAGAGCTTTTAGCACCATTCCAGCAGATGAAGTGTAATAGCTTTGTTCCATCCTGTGCAGTGGGAACAGCAGCATTGTGACAGTGATGTTGGAGAGCTGGGCAACTGCCTCTGGCCAATTCTGAAACTTCAACCTGAGCAGTCTTCAAAATACCTCTGTGTAGATGAAATGAGGCTTTTCCCATGCCTGCTGTTTTATAAAGCCAAAACTTTCATACCCTGAAACGCCACATTAGAAAAGCAGAAATCCTTTTAAGTGCCTCCCTGTGCCTCATCGTGGCTGGCTTTGCATTACCTGTACCACAGAGTTGTGGCTCTCCTCACACTTTGGTTTGGCTCAAACACAGTTTCATTGCTGGGTGGGTAAAACACCGTTCATGTGCCAGGGAAAAAGAAACTCACATCGACATAGCAAAAGAGAAGAACTGTGCTACAGCTGGTAATCATCTAACATGTTTTCTAAAGCTCATTTATAGCATTGGTTTGCATTCATGATGTAGCTCAATTGTTGTTTCATTCGCTAAGTTGGTACAAAAACATACTGGCACAAATCTTGATACGATACAAAGGCACCTGGCAAAGCTCATTCCTGGTGACAGCTTTGATTGCATTTCATTGCCCCCAACTTCCAGATAGGCATTATTTTGTTAAATGCACAGAGAGGCTCTCACTTACCGTTCCTGGAGAAAACAAGCTCCTCCTAGAGCAGCTCCCACCCAGGTGCTCCTTCCCCTGTTGCAGATCCAAGTTCTGCTCTGGAGCTGCCCCGTGAGCACCCGGTGGGTGCCGGGCAGGGCTGGCAGGGCTGGCAGGGCACTCCGGAGCTCCCGGACTCCTCTGCCTGCCAGGGAGCTGCACCTCCGCTTTTATAGCTCGGCTCCCTCAGGGGTCCCGTGGGCTTCCACGCGTCAGAGAATCAATTATCCTCCTGGATTTCAAAGGCTGCGTTCGCATCCTCTTTCTGTGTGCGCGGAGGGGGCTGTGCTCGTAGCCCGGGGTCATTTGCACGATTTCTCTTTATCCCTCTAAGAATGAAGAGCAAATAACAGCAATAATCTGGCAAAGTGAACGACAAATTCACTTTGCTATGTAAACTTCGCTATCCCCTGCAATTGCATTTTTTCCTTCTTGTCCGCAATGAGAGTGAGATAACCATTAGTACTTTCTCACACCGCCTGAACAGGAGGGTTGATCTTTTTTTGCTATTTTATTTTCCTTTGATTATCAGCCTTTTCCTCCTTCTCCTTTATTACTCATACCTGCATCAGGGGGACAGTTCATGCTTCAGTCCCTCACAAACATCACAGCTTCACACCAAGCCCACAGAGCAGCTGGAGAGCCCTGCTCCATCCATGTGCTCTGGAAAAAGGCAGGGGTGTTCCCTGGGGTGCTGCATCACCGGCAGCTCTGCTCATTCCTGGAACAAGGTTCATGAAAGCCCCGTTAAAACTAATGGAGCTTTCATGCCAAGAAGACCAGGACAGTTCAAAGGAGTTCAAAACAAAGTGCCAGCGGGAGCTCCACCTGCCAGATTTTTCATATTGACTTTACAATGCCCAGAATTGATGGGGATGCAGACCGTCCTGTCTGAGGGCTTGCATGACTCCATGATGGGAAGAAGTTTCAGCAGATGATGTGACTCATGTCTGCCTGCTGCCAAATACCTCCACCTGGCATCACAGTGGCACCCCAGCTGCCGAGAGGGATTGCAGGGAGGATGTGCACCTGGGGTTCCTGTGTGTGCAGGGGGTCAGAACCATCCCATGATGGTCTAACCCTGTTCTTGCCTCTCATTGCTCTTGCAAGCCAGACAGGTGAATCATCTGTGTCATCCACTGGAGATGGGGATTTCTGGGTAGCACAGAGCAAGTTTGTTCTGTGTGCACCTTGTCCTGGTGCACACAGCTGCATGCAGTCTCTGCAATCTGGAAAGGGATTTTTGTTAGCTTTTTTGAATCTTTGTGTTCTCTCGTGTGTGAGGCCAGTTGCACTAATTTTTCAGCATGATTTATTTTTCTTCCACTCTCTTGGTGCTGCACTGGCTGAACAGATGAATCAGATCATGCTGTTAAACCAGTCAAGAGCCAGTGCTATTTCAAGGCATTATCTTAAGCCTGGTCTTGAGCTGATTCTCCATCCAGCTGACCCCTTGCCTTACACAGAGCTGTATATGATACCAGGTAATATTTCTCTGATCAGGGAGAATCAGTCTATAATTGACTTGTTTATAGCTGCCTGCTGCCCAGCCTGGGTTAGGAGAGCTCTGATCTGTGTTCATATCTCAAGTGAGCTGCTTTCACAGAAGGCTCTGTAAAGCTCCATCATCCCAGGGCTTTCCTTGTGCTGCCTAGGTTGGGTTCTTGCCATGCAAGACCCAAAACAATTGAAGGAGGCAGCAGAAATTTTCTAAAAACCCTCGAGGCTCTGTTGGGTGCATCCAGTTTAGGAGTTCTGCAACAGCATAAATAGAGCAGCATTTCTGTCCCTGGGATTTCCTGCTCCATCTTCAGTGAAAACCTTCCTGTCTTCCCAGGACCCAGACAGGTAATTTTTGGAGCTTCTCCACCAGGCTCTGCAGGCTCTCCCTCTGACTCATGCTGCTGCTTATGCACCAGAAATGTCTGTGATCCCCACTGCTGCCTGGAGGAAGATGCTATGGACTGTGACAGGATCCAGAGCTGTTTGGAGCCACTTCTGCATCCATCCCTGTTGGTGTTGCAGTGTGTGCTGAAGCTGGCAGGGCAGGCTCTGTTCTCATGGTCTTTTTTTCAGCAGGGCTGTCACCCGTGTAGAGCTGGTGCCCCCTGCACATGCCAAAGGGGCTCTGGCTGCAGCTTTGTGCTCCCCACAGCCCCAAAGCTGCCCCCAGGACTATCAAAGTGGCATTCAAAGTCTAAACAAGCTGCCTGTGTGACAGCATTCCTCACAGGAATTTCACTTCAGGGTTAGTATCAATAACAATTTGGCACAACAGATTACAAACTTTTGCAAAATGAACAGCTTTTTCTCTTTAGAGAACCTCTTAGTTTGTCCCTAGAACCCTCCCAGTTTCTCCCCATCTCTCCTCCCTACCACAGCAAGTGCAGTGCCAGCATCCACGGGCTCCCAAACCAGAGGTTTGTAACACTCACAGTCTCCCACAGATCTCCACGTTAGCAGTGAGCATCAAAGCAGCAACCCTCGGAGAGGGAATAATGTACTCTGACTCCATGTTGCAGAAGGCTGAATAAATTGCTTTTATTAAGCTAAATCATATTACATAAATCCTGTACTATCCTAGAACTATAGCATACTAAAAAGATACTCAAGAAAAACCTCTGTCTCCAGAGAGTCACGACACAGCTTTGACCCAACTGGGCAATCAATCCACACAACCATCACCAGTGTCCAATTAACAAATCACTCTTAATCTCCATAACACATTCCACATGTGCCAAACAACAGGAGCAGCCAATAGAGATAAGAATTGTTTTCTTCTTTCTCTGAGCTTTATCACTGAGTCTCACAGATTCCCAGGAAAAATCCTGGGAGAGAGAATCATGGCTCTCTCTGTGCAGAGAATGTGAATATCACAAATGAGCAGTGGGTAACTCTCAGTTTTCCCTCTAAACCCAAGCCTACACCAGTGCAAGCTTGATGGTATCTACAGCCAGGTATGAGCCGCCACTTCAGCATCTGGAACTGCTGGATTTTGGGGTTGCATCCAAGCAGACCCACCCTCCCCACAGCCCCTGGGTGAAGCACGTGCCAGCTACTCTTATTTCAGTGCCAATCCTTCACTGACAAAGGACACAGAGCTCGGATCCTGAAGCAATTTCCCAGTATTGATTTCCTCTCAGCTTTACCTCCCCTGGTCTCCATGCCATGCTTTAAAAAAATCACCCCTGTCCATTCCAGCTGCACAACCTTCAGATAGGCTGGGCAGTGTGGGAAATGGGGTCCAGCCTTGCAGGGCTGAAGCTAATGGCAGTCAGAGCTCACCAAATGGCAAAAAACCATCCTGGCTTCTCAGCTGTCAAAAGCTTTTCTGCACTTCTCCAAAATGTCACACAGGGTGGCTTCTCCACCCTCTACCACTTCCAAGAGAGCCCTGGGGACAGAGCTGTTCCCTCTGGTTTGCTTTTACTTGAGTGAGAGGTGGGGTGGGGACTAACTTGTGGCAAATGCCCTAAAGGTGAATTAAACAGAACTGCCTAAGACTAAAAGTTATGGTTTTTGCCTAGGTTTGCCACCATAGAGGTAGGATGGAACCCATTTTGATTCAAGTATTTTATCCCAAGTGGCAGAAGTCAGGCGCATTTTAATAAATTCATAATCATTGAATTGCAGCGTTCATTACTGCTGTGTTCACAGTAACTTTCATTTCTAAGTTCTTTGTAAAAATCCAGTCATTTCTGTGAAAAGCAAGCAAACTTAAATGAGATGAGAAAGACAAGATTTAGCCTGTGATACCGGTTCCTTCTGAGGAAGAAACAAAAAAAAATCCAAAACTCCAACCCAGTGGGTGTGGTGAGACTTGGCATTAGAAAATTATACAAGACTTGGTTTCTTCTTCTTGGAAGGATAAAGTGTTGGGACTTGGATCTTCAGATCCTCCAGACTCAGCTCTTTGAACATCAATAATTTCTTGAGGAGCATTTTTCCTGGAGGAATTCAAATTTGGTAGGAAGCCGAATACAAACATTTATCAAAATAATCTCAAGGAAGGAGACACTCTGGAGGAGAGCACTGCTTGCACTCTGAGAATGACTCTGAAGCAGGGGATCAGATTAAAAACAGACAAAATAAATCAGAAATTCAGGATGTGTAAGAAGTGCTGTCAGAAGGACTGTCTCGTGGTGTTAAAAGCCTGCTTGAAAAGCCTGCTTAATCTTCAGGCATGAGCTCTCCCTGAGCCTGCACAGCAGCAAATGGCAGCAGCTGGGAGATGTGCAGCTGCCAGGGGGCCCGAAGGGCTCTGCAGGTGGGGATCCATTTATTGAGCCTGTACCTGCCTGGCTCTGCTTATTTCCTAGCAGAGCTTTGGAGAATTTCAGCATCGCCCAAGTGAGCTGCCAGGAGTTTCAGCCAGGCAGCAGCACATTACACTCACCTGTAAGCTTGAGAGTTACTGATTCCCGAATTTCTGGCTCTCTAAATACCATCCCCTTCCTCCTCCAGCCGTGGCAGACAGAGCTGAGATGCCAGCAGTGGATGCCAGTAATTAAGGAGCTCATCTTTGGTCTTACCACCCTCATTTCAGTTTGGAAAGGAGCCTTGGCTAGAAGGTTACAGCCAGGATCAGTGAACAGGGAGAGGCAGCTTCAATCCTTTGGAAAGCCTAATAAAAAACTGAATAAAACTAACAAAAAACTGAATAAGAGTGAGATGTTACTGGCATCAAGAAGGCAAAATGGAGAGGGAATGAGGAAGGCTCTGTTTCCAGTAAGGGATGAGAAATGAGAGCAGTAATGAGTAATTATTTCCCTGGCTGAATACGAATGCGCAACCTGAGGATGACAAGACATTGGAGCACAAGGATCACACGTACTGTGAGTTGTAATAAAGAGGCCTCACTGCAAAGACAAGTAGGAAATACCACAAGGAACAAATGTAGAAAGGACTAAAAAAAGCCAAAGATTGTTTGGATTTGGAGAAAGACTTCTTGCCCGAGCATTGTCTCTACTTAGAGCAGAGTGCTGACAAAATTGTCATGTCCCCTTGTTTAATAAATTTTAGCTTTGAAATCCACTTGCATCTGGTAGGTA